TACCGCTGTTCCTGGAGGGTAATGCATTGGCGTTGTAGGCCTACTTACTGCTTAGTGAGCTCGAAAGATCACAATATGAGAAAATTGAGAAGCACCTTCGAGAGGCATTCACAGACAGCTTATTTGTTGCGTTCAGTAAGTTGACACAGAGGAGGTGGGACGGTGAACATGTTGATGTATTCGTGAACGAACTAAGGAGATATGGAGGGTTGGCTGGATTTTCAGGCAGCAAACTGGATAGGCCGGTTAGGTTATCCTTTGTAAATGGATTCCCTGACCCGATATCGTGTGAGCTCCAACAGATGAGCCGGGTCTTCCAAGTTGAACTGTCAGAGGTAATAGCAAGAGCTAGAATCCTTACAGCAAGCAAGACTGGGATGGTCCGTGTTGCGGCGGCAGGCCGAGCCATGGCAAACGAAATGGGAAGCCACAGTCAACATATGAGGGCATTTAAAGACTCCTGTTATCGATGTGGTGGACCGCATATGGCTAAGGTTTGTAGTCATCGTGCTGACATTCTTTGCTACCACTGCAATGAAGTTGGGCACATAGCCAGTTGATGCAGTCAGAGGGGAAACGGTGCCTGTCATACAAAAAAACCCAGGAAAACTAGCTTCGGGTGGCTGCTGCGCCGGCAGATACCCGTTTGAAATGAGGGCGCAGTCTTTACCGATAATTCAAGTTGGCGTGAAGGGAGCTAAGGTCAAAGCATTGGTAGATACAGGTTGTATGGTCACAGTGGTCAGTTCACATATAGTCGGAAATTGCGTGGGCGAGAACTATACGGTAGGTTTTGATGGTTCACGAGTGCAGTGTCAGGGGAAGAAAGAGCTAATCATTGACGTGCGAGGTGTCTCGGTCTCCGTAAATGTAAAATTTGTCTCAGATTCTATTCTGTCTGATATTGATGAGGTGTTGGGAATGGATGCTATAACTAGCCTGGGAGGAGTTTCAGTCACCTATGGTACAGTTGAGTTTGGTGTCAAATGGTGTGGGGCAGCGGAAATGGAAACTGAATCTAATCCCTCAGACCAGGCAGGGAGGAACGTAAAGCGAGCAGAGAGCGCTTTTTACGAACACAGTGAGCTTGAGGTTAGTGACGACGGTGATTTTAAGGCAGATTTTTTAGGGCAATACATGGACAGTAGAGTGGAAATGGAAAAGGGATCCTCCCCACCTGAAGAATAAGATCGGAAGTTATGGTAAACAGCTGGATATTATGGAGACTACGGAAGGGTTTGAGAAAGAGATACAAAGTTGGACAGAGGAAGGAATACTTTTCCCATGGAATGAGAAAGTAGAAATAGGCATAATTCCGCTGATGGCTGTTGTTCAACCTACCAAGAACAAGGTAAGACCTGTCCTTGACTACAGAGAGCTCAATAAACATGTAAGTAGTCACACGGGGGGTGACTTCATGGATGTATAAGGCGAGACATTGCGAGAGCGGAGACAGACGACAGGTGCAGCAACGATTGTCGACCTGTAAGGTGCTTACCTTCAAATTCGGGTGTCACAAGATCTATGGAAATATCAACTAGTGAATTACAAAAGTGAAACATATTGCCTGACAAGACTTGGATTCGGTCTTATATCGGCATCCCGCATCATGACGAAGATCTTGAAAACGGTATTGAGAAAGGATGAGAAGATAGACTCTGCCACGCAGTCCTACATTGATGACATTCTGCTGGATGAGAGCAAGGTAACATCTGCTGCACTGGTGAAGCACCTGGGTTGACAACGAAAGAACCAGGGCCATTGGAAGGTGGCGCTGCATTGGGTTTCAAGTTGAAATCTGATTCCGTAGGAGATCTCATATTTTCCAGAGCCAACATGATTCCCCATGCAGTGTCTAAAGTCACCAAACGGGAGTTGTTCTCGATCTGCGGAAAACTTACAGGTCATTATCCGGTTGCTGGATGGTTAAGGATAGCATGCAGCTACATAAAGAGAAGGGCAAATGGTACCAATTGGGAGGAGATCGTAGAAGATGAAGTGGAGAAAATGTTGAAGGAAATGTTGAGTTGAGCCGCTTGACTAATGAGGATTCTGTCAAAGGCAAGTTATGGTAAACAGCTGGATATAAGCAACCAAAGGAACCGTATGGTGTGATGCTAGCAGTATCGGATATGGTGTGTTACTTGAGGTCAATAGCAACGTGGTAGAGGATGCCGCATTGCTTCAAAAACGTTCAGATTTTGATCATATCAACGTAGCAGAGCTGGAGGCTGCGATGAAAAGTGTAAACATGGCCATCAAGTGAAACATCTCTGAAATCGAAAATATCACTGACTCAGCAACGGTGGCTGGTTGGATCAAAACTGTTCTATCGGAAGAGAGGAGAGTACACACCAAAGGGGCAGCTGAGTTGATTGTGAAGAGACGATTAGGGATATTGAAAAGCCTTATTAATGAGTTCGGTCTGGTTATGTCGATAATCTTGGTTCCGACCAGAAAGAACAAAGCAGACATTCTGACAAGAGTAAATAAGGAGTGATTAAGCACTGGCGGGTATGGAATGGAGGAGGGAGAACCAGATCCACGCATGTGTGCTACTGGTCATCTACACTTGAAAGACTTGCACGATATGCACCATATGGGGGTAGACCGTACCTTGTATTTGGCTCGGAAGGTGCTACCAGAAACGAGCCATGCTGATGTGAAAAAAGTCGTACAAGCTTGTGAGCAATGTCAGTCTATCGATCCTGCACCAGTTGTCCATGAGGCAGGCAACCTAGATGTCGCTACAGACTGGACAAGATTGGCAATAGACATAACTCACCATCATCAAGTGCCATACCTGTCAATTGTTGATTGTGGCCCCGGGCGATTCGCAACTTGGAAGAAACTGAAGAGAGAGAGACAGCAGGGTTCATTACGGAAGTAGTTGAAGATCTCATGTTTGCGACAGGACCAGTGCACGAGATCTTTATGGAAAATGGCACAGTGGTTCACTCAGATTGTTTTTGGCAGATACTTCAGAAACAGAATATCAAACCTTTGTTCAGAGCTACATATAGGCCTACGGAGAACGGGATTGTTGAGAGACACCACCGTACAGTGAAGTCCATTGCAGAAAGAGGAAACATTTCCCCCCAAGAAGCTGTGTTTTGGTACAACTCAGCACAAAGAGCAGGTTTAGACCCAGCATTAATGCCACAGGGAGCTGTCTACCGTTATGATTGGAGAAACCATATCGTTGTTCAAGACGGGCAAGGAAGATTTGAAGTTGGGGATGATGTTTGGGTTAAACCACCCCAGAGCAAATGCACGACCAAGTGGAATAGAGGTACGGTTACGGGAGTAAACTCGATCAACAATGTTGCTGTCGATGGTATGGCTCGTCACGTTCTCGATATTAGAAGAGTGGTACGAGATGTAACTTCAGAGGAAAAGGATGGCGAGGGAGGTGGCAGTGAGCCTCAGACCTTGCAGACCCAGACGAGAAACGAAGGTGCAGGTGAACCCCCTCCCAGGCAGTATCCTGATCGAGTTTAGTATCATTTAGTTTATAATTCAGTAAGAGTTTTACGGCACATGCAACACAATAAGGTCATATAAGTGCCGAAGGTTAGAAGTGTTACAAGAGACTTGTTGTTGTTGTTGTTATCGATCCAGCAACAGCCGGGCTCTCGCCCTTCTGTCCAATGCCATGTAGTGATAAGTGCAGGTCTGCTGCAGTTGCTGTAATGTTCCATAGAGTGTGTTGTCTATGTTAGGTCTCGGAGAGAGAAGAGAGTAACAAACATAAAAAAGATTGAGGAGAGATAAAGATGATAGTTGTTTGATAGGAAAGAAGGAACAAACCACACCAGAGCACCCACCAACCACCCACTGACGTAAAAAGTACCCAAACGGACTTAAGGGGATTGCTTGCTGCTTTGACAATGTGTCAAATCATCTTCAGACCAAAGTAGCAAAGCTAGAACCATATTACACAAATTAGCAACATGAATTTGTCCATCTTAAGCATGCTGTTGGCTGTCTTTCTCGGTTTCAAAGATAAGAAAACATAACATTTTATTGCTTTCCACAATGAGGAAAACTTGCTGAGGCATGTAAGTACATACATGCACACACACTCGAGATCATTTTGAGGGGGTTAGACACCTAAGGACCTAACGTCTATCTCGGCTATTACAAACCCTAGAGAGCCAATATTTGCTGTGAGACATAATATCTCATTGCAGATTTTAAATTAATTGCTAAAAAAGTATGTATGAACTGGTTGCTATGGAAACGGCGTTTAAATTGAATTTTGTTTACTCTTTTCAATCCCATTCGTCCCCCTTTATTTATCGACAGATTCACTTTTAATTTGGCCTACAAACAGCTAATATGTAACTGACAATTGTCTGGAAGTTTTTAATAAATGCTTTAGATAAGTTTTATTTTATGACACTTTCAATTAGGCTGTTGTAAAAAAGTGAAAAACATGGAAAACTCCATGGCGCCTCGCACAATAGCCAAGACGTCTTAACTTGGAACCGTATAAAATGGTAAAACATAATTATCATAATAGATAGCATTTGTATAGTGCAAATCCCCGCTCAACAGCAAGTTCTATGCGTTTCACAATTTCTACTATGTTACAAAGTTAAACTCTGCAGCTGCATTCACAGCAGCAAACTCAACTTTGTTTTTACTGTGAAACTGGCTCTGAGAACAACATAACCATGCAGCGCTTTGAAGGCTCTCATTAGCATTCTGTTTGCAGCAAGTCAATTGATGACAAGCGCTAGTAAATTGGCAGAGCCTTTAAGGGGGGGGGGGGTTAGAAGGAGTGCAGTAGGGGGGGGGGGGAGGCAGTGAGGGGGGAGGGCAGTGAAGGGAGAGGGGGATACAGTGAAGGGAGGGGGGATCCAGTGAAGGGGGGAGGGGTGCAGTGGGGGGGGGGGGGACAGCGAGGGGAGGGGGGATCCAGTGAAGGGGGGAGGGGTGCAGGGGGGGGGGGGGGGCCAGAGGGGAGGGGCGATCCAGTGAAGGGGGGAGGGTCGCAGTGGGGGGGTGGGGGAGGAAGCAATACTAATGCTGGAGGGAAAAATCATGAGTAGAAAACTGTGGTGCAGGGAAGCAAGTATGGCCTTCTGTATATCTTCAGCCTTGGAGTGTAGATGAATGGCCTGAGAGCAGTACATCGCAAGCTTCCGAATTTTGTCTGCAGTCAGACTGCCTGGCTTTCTCTAAACAAGTGTAACACTTTAGGGTTTAGAGATTGGTCACGGCAAAGTCACATCCAGCACTGTCGTGGAGGTCAGTGTAGCTTATGCAGACATCTTGCAGGAACGTAACATCTCACAGGAGATCACAACAATTACATCTTGTAGGCCTTCGCAGGATGTCCTGAACTATTTGAAAAACAAAGCGTGTGTTGTGGGTATCTGAAATTTTAAAATGAAAAGAATCATGACACTTTTTTTTGGTTTTTGAATAAATAAAAAAAGGTTTACCCATATAATCACAGCCATTTCAGGACGGGAACAAGCACAAGTAAGATAGGCAGACAGAAACAATACAACAAAAAGAAGAGAGCTACAAGTGGCACCCTCCAACCACCCACCCGATCTTACATGAGCGTCGCACAATGTCTAGTAATGACAGAAAATATGTTTTTAAAAATGTAGCAATGCAGCAATAGCGATGGCTAGCTTTGCAAACTGGTACTACAGAAGGAATGACCAACTCATAGAGGACAACAGAAAACACACCCAGAATCATAACGGGTATATGTGGGGCAACCTGGAGAAATCAGGTGCTCGTCAAAATAATGAAATAGAAGAAATAATCATTTTTCCTCCAGTTTGGAAATTTTTATTGAATTTATTTTTATTTATTTATCTTTTTTTTTTTGGGGGGGGGGGGGGCTCAACACCTTTTATGTCCATATCAAAACACATTTCCCTTTAAATTTTTCTGTAAAAGTTTATCAAAGGCACAAAATATGTAAATGTTCAGGTTTCAGGGACTCTCGATATATTATGGCAGCCATTTTCTCACTAATTTCACCTCAGAAACCAACTATCCCCACCTCCGTAAATCACAAATATCTTGACTTTTATTAAAGATAGATGGGTATTTTTTTCATAGAAAACAAGGCAAATGAAAAAACTTTCAGATGATACCAATAACTCCACCTACCCAAAGATTGACAAGCACCTGATCCCACCATGTCGTGACACACACGAACAAACAAACCCACCAGGCTCCCCCTGCACAGCACAATACACACAGTGCCGGTACTGAGATGCATCAACACACATTACCTGTAGTGTGCATAAGGCGTGTTAGTTCTTCCTTGCATCTAGTCATGAGGATGGTGGGTGGTGGGTGGTGGGGTGTGATTGAAGACAAGACAATGAGGTGCTGAGTTGGGCCATGTGGGAGACTCGCGGGGCGAGCCGACAGCACAAGATCTTCAGAGGAAGAACACCCCTACTTTCCCCGACACTCTACGGGGGGCCGGCCACACTCAGGGCATGCCTCCTGAGTGTTCTCCTGCTCTATGTGTATGTTTGTTTTCTGTTTTCTTTGCTCTGATCGTGGGAGGAACCTTCGAGGTTTGGGGGTATTTCCAGGTCTTCAGTTTGTGCGATTTTGTGCCATAATATAGTGTATGAATTGCATATTTATCTTAGTATGCATATGTGTGTGCATGATTCTAGCACAGTGTGAATATATGAATCAGGAAGTGATGACACAAGAGGGGTGGGTGGCGCCCCCTGACGACAAGTGTCAGTTACATCATCATTATTATGATCTGTTTTTTTCTGTTTTAGTAAGTGTTTGACTGCACTTGCAACACAAATAGGTTAAATAAGTGCTGAAGATTAGAGATGTTACAGAGAGTAACAAACACAAAAAGGAGGGGAAATAAGGATGATAGATGTTTGATAGGTAAAAAAAAAGAAGCAAACCACATCAGAGCACCCTTCAACCACCTACTTATCATGTCCTGATGTACAAGACCAGCAATTTTACTTACTTTGTAACGCTCATCAGCATCTCTCTCTTTGTTTTTTGGCTTTGACACAGACCTCGGCACATGCACCATCCATTCTTCTATCCTTTCACTGATGTTGGGTACTTTTCATTATACCATCACAGTTACGTCTCTAGATTTTCTTCAATATCTCTCTCATTAAAACTTTTCATTATCATGGTTTACTCAAATTAGGGATGTATAGAACACGTTTACAAGCCCTGACCTGTTTGAGATCTCTGTGCCTGACTACAGTCAGAACAGTACAAGATGGACACACAATGGCGGAAAGAAAAGTGGTTGTCTTAGACAGGGTCATTATAATAATATTTATAAAAACTACAAGGGGGAAGTGGAGAACGGTCATTTGTACAGGAGATTGTCTGGAACAGGTGGCCGCTTGAGAAGGCCCGACTGTCTACTTATTGCTACCTCAGAATTATAATGTTCTATTTGACATTTTTGGAAGTTTTGAGTTACTAAGGTCAGAAACCATGTCCTACATGCTCTATCAAAACCATAATATTATTGGGAGTCATTATCAAGATATTCAGATAATTTCATTTTTTTAAAAGCTTGATATGATGTGAAGCTCAAAATCTTTGACGTCAAATTTCTCAAAACAAGGTACTGAGCTGATAGAACTTTGTACCTCTGAGGTAGCGATATGACATCACTACTTGCCTGTCAAGTTGACAAAGACACAGTGCACATCACTAGTCTCGCTGGCATCCGCTTTGATAAACATCATCTGGATAAAACAAAACACTTCCTGGCAGTCATCCGAGGGCCCTGGCGATTAAAAAAAGAATGGCAAAGTTAATTAGAAACACAGCAATCAGGACCATATCAGGAACTGCCAGATCTGAGGTAGAAATCGACAATTATGTTTCCCCAATTATTCCTCATCTTTGATGGTCTAAAAAAAATCCACATATCATCATCCCGCGTCATCCATTTATTCAGGTTCTCTCAAAAAGCTGATTTCATCTACTTCTGCCTCATTTGCTTTTTACTTTTCCCACGAAAACAAGATGTTCAAAGCTTTTAAGTCAATTTGTTTGTTGTTCTTTGTTTTGTTTTGTTTGTTTGAGTAAAGAGAAGTAGATCGACACAATAATGGTCATTTAGTGCTGGGAAAAAGAAGGACAGACAGACAGGATCAACAGAGGGAAAGTAAAGAAGGAGGACTTACCAGGGGTGCCCTCCAAGCAACCACTTTACGTCAGTTCAAGTGTCCCAGAAATTGCATAAGTCTCTTTCAAACTGTTTTTAGTCGTCAGTGGCCAATACAGGTTTCGTTCAGTGTAACCTCATTTGAATTCCTTTTTTCCATGAATATTTATGAAGAGGTTTCCTGATGCATATGACTGGTTTGTGAACTGTTTTCTGTGCCATCCTTTGTCACTTTGTCCTCCACTGGCTACCCAATAGGTACATTTGGTAGGATTTGTTGTGCCTTTTGTAATCAAGATAGTCCCTTCTTTGAACATTTGATGTAGCTATTGACGCTCCTCTAGTTCTCTTCTCTTCTCCGCGACCATTTCCTTTGTTGAAGTAAGCGTTTTTGGCACTTGCAACACAACAACATCATTTAAGTGCAGATGATTAGAGGTGCTACAAGAGAGTAACAAACACAAAAAAGAAGGAGGAGAGATAAGGATGATAGATGTTAGATAGGAAAGAAAGACCATCTCCCATTTGGTTCGTCACTGCTTTGCAGCTTCAACTCATATCCGGTAGACATTTCCTAAAAACGTCCAAGCAGAAAGACCAACGATACTCAAGACATATTTTTCCAACTCAGGAATCAAACTTAGGTATTCTGTGTGCAACAGTGCAACTCTGAAGCACCTAACCTCTACACCACAGACACCCATATGAGGGCGGGAATGATTATAATAGCAATAGCAAGTCAACAGCTTGACCACAAAGATGACAAATACGATGATTTCAACAACAAAGATGATTATAAATGTTTTACGCCCCACCCCTACTGTCAACACAAGTTGGACGATTTAGGATAATGGTACAGTGTTTGTTCATTAACAGATGTTCTAAGCCCCTATCCCCACAATTGAGATAATTTAGGAGGGCCATCCTGCCTGCTAGGGTCAACCAAACCTGAGAGAGATACATCATTTCAACAGACAGAGATACTCAATTAAAACCCCCACCCACCCCACACATGAACCAAACTCACATCCTCTGTGCACAACAGCGAAGCATGTAACCCCTACACCACATACACCAGCACAGCGTAAGTACATAGTATGGGTTCAATATGAACAGTACATTGGGCTCACCAGTGTAGTCAGGAAAGCACTTCTGGAAGGAGGAGAAATCGTTCAACAGTTTTTCCTTCATGACGTCCTGTCTACTAAACATGACAAGATGAGTACAGTGGCAAAACCATCTCGAACCACTGACCGTTGCGAACAATGCCCTGGCTCCTTCAAGAGCGTTCTGAATACAACAGACAAAGGACAACACATTAGGGAAAGAAAAGTTGTACCTAACAGTGGAGTCCTGCAACTATTCATGATAGAAAACTGCAAAAGGAGGTTTTAGTTTTAGTAAGAGTTTTATGGCACTTGCAACACAATGTCATATAAGTGCCGAAGATAAGAGGTGTTACAAGAGAATAACAAACACAAAAAAGAAGGAGGGGAGATAGAGATGACAAAATTTTTTATAGGAAAGAAGATGCAAACCACACCAGAGCACCCGCCAACTACCCACTGCAAAAGAGGGTAATGGACAAACATTTAGGTGTGTATGTGTGGGAGAATAATAATAATAATAATAATAATAATAATAATAATAATAATAATAATAATAATAATAATAATAATAATAATAATAATAATATATGTGTCCCTGCCAGTCAAAATCAGTCATAGGAAGGAAATTTCAAAACTGAGTTTACATTATTTTTAAAAATATCACCTTTTCCCTATAATAAAAAAAAATGAAGTAAATATGACTATATTTGATGGAAATACGAAATTTTTAATTGTGCGAGGTGAGGAAACACGAAAAGGAGAAGATGGCCTCTGAAGTAGAGAAACATGTTTCAATAGCAACGGGGGTCTTAGAATTGAGATAGACACTTGAAATTTAGCAGTTATTTTGGTGATGCCACTACAATGTAACACATAGAAGTAGAAAACTATTCATTTACAAAGAAAAAACTTATGGACAAAGCAAAATTTTCCCGAGAATGGACTACACATCAAATGCAACAAAATGTTAGCATTATACTAGCTAGGTACCAGATACTAAATTTTCAAAGTAGCTGATATCAAATTCATCTGTTTAATATGAAAGGTCAATATCTCTTGAGAGTTTTGTTGCCATGCGTTTACATCTCATTCAGTTGTTAAGAGAATGGCAGCTGTTTCAATTTAACATAATAATCAAATAATGCTGAAGTCGGTAACTGGCTGCAATCCCATGTTTGATAGATAATAAAAGAGTACGAAGTGCTCCAAACATCTTTACATTAACAGAGTACAATCACTATAACAAAGAAATGAAGCCTAATTATTTTCAAGACTGTGAGATAATTACAAATCAGTATTTTATTGCCTCAAATACGATGGTCTGTCGTTATTTCATTAAAAACACGGAGCATTGTCCCGGCTGGCACCGCACCAGCCTTCGCGGCGATCGAATCGGCTCAATACTGTAGTGTACTGAGTGCTCCCGATAGTTGCGCGGACGGATACTTGCAAAATAATTCCAAGCCGATGACTTTATTCGAATAGAAAAAGAACTGTTATTTCTATTGGTACCTTTTTTTAGCCTTTAAAAAAAAACAGCACCTGGACAAGGATGGCTGGTGCCTCTATAAATAAATCATTGATGGTCAAGGTCAATTTCGTGTTTAAAATGGTCTTTGAAAACTTTTGACGCTTTTAAAAAATTCTTTCTATCCAAACGCCAACGGCCAAAAATATACCACGAGAAACCAAGCTCAAAGCTGTATAGTTCTCCGCCAATGAAAAGACGGTATTCAATCATCAATCTCTCTGCAAAGCATTCGAAAGCACGGGTGTCAATTTTGAACCAGCCGACCTCGCATTCTGACTGCAAGGTGCTTCCCTTTCCACGGCAATTTTCCAGCTTTAATACTCAGATATATGCAAACAACTTACACTGCAAAGAAGAAAATATGAACTTTTTCAAATACTACAGCATTTGGGGTTTTATAGCAAAAGAGCAAAGAAACAGCGACCTGGATAAGGCCTGCCCCCATTTCACCAAAACCATGCGCTCGGAAGGCCGCGAGTCGGCTTACGTGCCTTGTTTACGCTTTCTAATTATTCATTTGCATTAGCACTATAATCACACGAGAGCACACACACACATACACACACACACACACACACACACACACACACACACACACACACACACACACACACACACACACACACACACACACACACACACACACACACACACACACACATACAAACACACCAACACACATGCACATAAACTGCCTCGGTGGCCTCTTGGTAAGGAGTCCGCTCTGAGAGATCCAGAGGAAGTTAATTCATTTTTTAAAAGCTTTAAAACACAATAAAAACAAACTTTTTAAGTCAACCTAAATGTAAAACTGAAAAATCAACAGACGATAACAGCTAGCAGGGCACACCCACACAATCAGCTGTATACGTAAATAAGCTTGAAGTTAGCTAGAATTTACAGTTCTTACCGCGTACACCAATCAGAGACCTCAGTCGTCCATAGTGACAAGTTGTTTACATTTCAGATCATTCATGCTCGAAAAGAAGTCAAAACCTAAAAAAGCAAAGGTGGCCATGAGGTTCTATAAATAATCTCACAGCTACACACCAGCAAGGTCCAAATTCGTTTATCTCGTCACCCAAGCACAAACCACACTCACCTCCAAAATAAATCAAAATAAAATATTTATAGTCGATTATAGTCGTTTATTTTGATCTTAATTTAAATGAAGCAGAATATACCAAACTTTCAATAGATCAAAAAAACAAAAAATTTCATGGAAAGTCACTTTCTTGCCTTTTGAGCCTCGTAGCTGATAATAGCACACAACACCTTACGACTGATTTTGATCGGGGCGGACAGATATGGAATTTATATAGCGCTCAACGCCAAATTAAAGTACACATGCTCTCCGCGCTTTACAATACAATAGTAGCATATAAACAGTACATTGTGCTCTGACCAAAAGAAAATATCTCTAAGTATTTATCTCATTTATTTAGAAGCAAAAATGACTTTAGCTGAGTGTAACTGGTTTAACAGTTTTTGACCACTGTAAGCCAGGAAAACGTTTCAGAATTGTGTTCTAAGGTTTGCTGGTGTAATAAATTGTAAAGCACATCAGGTATACGCCATCCATTAAAAAACACAAAACAGCTTTTCAGAATAACTTTTAAACATAAAGCTATCTCGTGTATATACTACGGCAACTGTCTTGGCTATTGTTCACATCAAAAGGTGTTTATTTTGCTCATCCTTATTTCAAGTCTTCCCCATGGGAACATGAATACTGTAATTCAGCTAAAATTTCTCATGAATTATAAACTATCAAAAACAACCAAGTTTCCCCCGACCTATCAGTACATGGTCAACGTCAACGTTTGGAATAAGTTGGTGAGGAAAAAAGTAGTCCTCTTGGACAGTGTCACTATTACACAGACAAAATACAATGGGAAGTTGAGAGACGTAGTTTGTACATGTGGTTATTGTCTTGGACGGGTAGTCATTAGAGCAGGTTCAATGGTAATTGTCACTGGAGGTATTTCAATGCCCTTGACGTCATTACTCAAATGATTTAGAAGCCAGGCTACTTCACACCTGTTTGTCAGGGTCAACCGGGGCTGACAGAGATACAGTATCCCAGAAGACAGGTGGAGAAGCTTGATAATAATTCTCCCCACACAGGAAACGAACTAAGGTCTTTTTAGTGCGACAGAGAGCCTCTTGAACCCCATATAATTGAAGCCAATCTTCGCAAAACAGACGCCGGTATACTGTAAGTGAGGAAGGGAACAAATGTGAAACGACTCACCTCATGATCGCTCCAAGGACAAGGCTGATCAAAACCACTCAAGTCCACAAAATACAACATACAGTTGACATCAGCAAACAGCTGAAACCAATTCGTACTCAGTGGCCTTTGACCACCAGGTTCAGTCATTCTGAAAAACGAAACAAAAAACCGATGTCTCCCTAAATAAAACACAGTCAAACTTGTTCAAGACAACGACCCATTGGGAAGAGAGAAGTGGTCATCTTAAACAGGTGTCCTCATTGGACAATGTCATTATAATAAAGAAAAAAACATAACAGGGGAAGTGGGAATTATCATTTGTCCAGGTGGTTGTCTTTGACTGTACATCCAATAAGCTAAGGCATTCTTTCTATCCAAGGATAGGATCGAGCAGCTCATTTTTTTTTATTTAGACCAAGAGAAAAAAATTTAGGAGGTCAAGACAGTGTGAAAGTTTCACATCTTAAAATCTCTGGACGGATTTTAACTAAAAAAGAGTGGGCTTTTCTGACTGCCGTCCAGATAAAATTCAAAACTAATAAGTATCCAAAACTGAAGACTCTAGTCAGTAGGCAGTGCCTTTGAAAACAGCAGAGTGCTGCCGGTCAAGTAAGGGATGATGCTATGCCTTACGTAGACCAAATAGTCATTTACACAAAAATACAACAGCACTAAGAGATGAAATTCCTGCAGCCTGTTATCTCCTGAGCTCTAGCAGGGGTATGCAGGAGGAGGAGGAGGACAGCAACAAAACCCACAGTGACGTGCATGCTACAGCAAGAACCTTCCAGTTCTAACTTTCCCTGTACTTAGTCAACTTAAAGTGTTGAGCAGCGTGCAAACGCATGCAGAATCAACAGTCTCTGACATATGAAAACCGATAGATGGTAGATGTTACACACCTCAATCCACAGGTTGCTACAACTCTACCTGTCAGGACCAACAATAGCATTCTAGAAAAAAGGCTAATTTAAAATAGATTTCCCATACAGGACTCAAAATCAACATGCATTACAAGATGAGATCTTTAGTTTGTACATGGAATGTGATCGGCCCTAATAGAATTTAGTCAAATTTGATGATGCCGACCTCACTTGCTCCCATCTGATCATACTGATAGCTATAACAATGCACCTCCCCGAATCTGAAAAGTACACTTATTGATCTTGGTTTAGTAAGAACTCGTCCCACATATCATGACGAGCTGGAAAAACTATTCTTTAAAGTCTGGAAAAGCAGAAGAAAACCACGACAAACCTGTAGCGCTTAGTGTCAATTTCAAAGACATGCTCCTCGACACTAGTGGTGGGTGTGGCCAGCATAAGGACGTCATGCTCTGTGGGGACGTAATCAGCACCGGAGATCCTAGACAAGTTGTCGAAGAAACTGGAGGAAAAAACATGACTTGAATGCAAATGTTTTAACATTAGCATCTCATAATTCAAATAATTTAAAGGTAGGTACCTTTTATTTGCCTTTTTCAGTTTGTGCTTCCATAAGCTGTGAAGAATACCTCATCCTAAAAGAAAGACAGAGGCACTATCGAATACCCAATTCACACTCCAGAAAGTTTCATCAAATTATTGAATATCCAAATTTTTCTTCCTTGAAGGGTATAAGCTACTGTTACATAATTTGACCAAATTCTCCAATGTCACGCGTGACTGATACTTTCGGTCAAGACAAGTTTATCTAATGAAAATTGAGTCATTCACTCAATCAAAAGGTAACTGTTCTACAGTCGAAGCTGCCTTACAGACCACCTGTCCAAAGCAATCAGCTGTACAAACGACCATTTCCCACCTCCCTCCTTGCAATTTTACAAAATGATCAGAATATTGGGAGCTTCCAGCCTTCAGTTTGTGAAACACAACACCGGAACAAGAAATCTTAACATGTTTAATGCTAAAATTGTTTAGTTTGTGTCAGAATATTCACCAATGTTCTTGGTTTATGAACAACTCAATATGTAGGGCCTAGTTGCTAAGAGTATAAAAGACCTTCATAAAAAAATAGAAAAAATCTTAATGTTCCAAAAGAATCTAAACACAACTTACTATTTAGTTGATGTTGGTAGGAGCATACTTTGTCTTTGGAAACTTTTCTTAATAGCATCATCATTCCAAAGTGAGATCAAAATGTCCATAAAACTTTGATGGTACCCAGTCACAGACGACACTGTAATCTCATCAAGACTTAACCTGTGATGCTGTGAAATAATGAGCACTGATATGTGAGGGTTCTGATGCATTCCTCAGGATCAGATGGACAGACAGGGTTACCAACAAGGAAGTATTAAGGAGAACAAGACAGAGCTCAGTCAGAGATGTGGTGGGAAGAAGGCGATAGCAATAGATTGCACGCCTGGAAGCTTCATAGCAAGGAAAGTGTTAGACTGGAAATCTCAGGGTAAGAGATCATGGGGAAAACCAAATGGAACCAGAAGAAGAGTCGCAGAGAATGACGGCCAGAAAAGTGGAAAAACATGCAAAAATGTAAGAAGCTAAACCAAGATCAAATAAGACCAAATAGAAAGAGTTTGTCCTTGGTATATCCAGACACAGGGTCAAGAAGAAAGTAATGATCACATACAGTCACTTGAACACATCACTTGTCAAACTGAACAGTCAAACTCTCCTACCCCTCCCCCGAAGGAATATTGATCTACAGGGTATCATGGGAAGGGTGATACAGGGTGCAAGAAATCTGATATGTGTAGAAGGAGAGGAAGAGGAGGAGGATGAGGAGGATGAGGAGGATGAGGAGGATGAGGAGGATGAGGAGGAGGAGGAGGAGGAGG